TCCTTTGTCTCTCCAAGGAAAAAGATGTGAAGGGATACACTTTGAATATCTGGAGCCCTGTAGTGAAACCATATTCTGCAATGCCATAGCCATCATCATCACTGCTTCTTTCAGTAGCAAGATAAACATCAGTTCAGATACCCAGGTTTTTCTCTCTCCTCTGCCCTCTACAAATGGATGGGTTTACCAATACATCTCTGCACTCTTAATTCCTCCAAGACATATCCTACCATGTCCAACTGCTTCTTGGTATTTAATAGGGGAGCATTTGGAAGAAAGAGAGGAAGGAGGAAGGCATCATAGGCCTGCCAGGATGGAGCTGAGGGAGTTCATGAGGGTTAATATTTGAAGAGGTATGGGGGATTTCAATGCCTGGACTGGACCTGTTGTTAATCTTTCAAATAGCACCACTGGAGATATGGTTACTTTAAGAAATCTCTGGGCATTACTATTCCTTTTCATGGTTTTTGAGCTCTTTTCTTCTTCTACTGGTCCTGGGCCTTGAATTCTGGGCCTGGGCACTATCCCTGAGCTCCTTCTGCATAAGGCTAACTAACGCTCTACCATTTGAGCCACAGAGCCATTTGTGGTTTTTTCTGTGATTAATTGGAAATAAGAGTCTCACAAATTCTATTTTGCCTGGGTTGCCTTCAAACTGCAATCCTCAGCCTCCTGAGTAGCTAGGATTACAGGCATGACACACCAGGGCCTGGCTGGTATTTGGGATTCAAAGTAAGGCACTAGGTGGTACCTTTGTGGTACTAGGGTTTGAACTCAGTGCTTCCTCACGTTTGCTTGGCTGATGCTCTAGCACTTGAGTCATGCCTCCAGCTTGGCTTGTTGCTGGCTATTGTTGAGGATGAAGTCTGGCAAATTTGCTGCCCTAGCTGGTTTTAAACTCTGATCCTCTAGCTCACAGTCTCCCAAGAAGCTAGGATTATAGGCATGAGCTACTGGTACCTGACTGGAATAAAAACTTAGGAAATAAATGTAAAAGTTCAGTGCTGGGTATTGAATCCAGGGCCTCACATGGACTGGGCGAATATCCTTCCACTGAGCGGTATCGTTGGCACTATTCTGAAATTGCTCTTGATTGTGTGTGCAGGTGTCTAGGTTGCTGCTGTGGGACTGACTGCCATGCAGTGGTACAGCAATAGAGGGGTTACCCATGCAATTGCTCATAGGGGGAAGAGTAACTTATATACTGGATATTAATAGTTTTTATTACACTATAGGAAGTATAAGAAATGTTGCTTCTCTTGAGCCTAATCTAAAAGGGCTTAGAAGCAGTGCATTTAGCTTATTTAGTTTGCTTAGTTAAGGAAAGCCCCGTCTTTTACCAGGAACTGTAGTAGTATCAGAGTGATGGAGGCAATGTCTTTGGAGCTTCTCCTCATATGTATTTGTTTCTGAAAATATTCTTGCAGCAATTGGTGGGAGTGTAAACTTGTTCAACCACTTTGGAAAGCCGAAGTTCCTCAAAAGACTGCACATAGAGCTCCCCTATGACCCGGCATTTACCCAAACGATCACAAACAAGGTTATACTAAAGCGACCAGCACAAACTATGTTTATCACAGCATTATTTACCATAGCTAAGATATGGAACCAACCCAGATGCCCCTCAGTAGATGAATGGATCAAGAAAATGTGGTATCTATACACAATGGAATTCTATGCCTCCATCAGAAAAAATGGCATTGCCCTATTTGTTAGGAAATGGAAAGACTTGGAAAAAATTATATTAAGTGAAGTAAGCCAGGCCCAAAGAAACATAGGTCCCATGGTTTCCCTTATTTGCAATAACTAGTATATGTCTGAGACAAACAGTAATGGTCAGATAAGTTGATGTTAGATGAAATGAACCCCAAGCTAAGTATTCAAATGTTTTTTCTTACTTGCTATTGTTTCTAACATATTTATAAAATGATTTCTTTGTTGCTTTGTATGTTCCTCCCCCACAGTATAACCCCTGTTTTCACTGTATTTGATGTTGATATAATTTGTGGAGGGGAAGGAAAAACCAAATTGTTTAAATAGGGATACAGGTGGACCCATTGCAACAATGAGATATACAAGATGTTATGTCGATAAACGAACTTTACAACTTTGGCGGGGGGGGGGGGGGGGGGGGAGGGGTGGTGGGGAAGATGCGGGGGGCGGGGGTGGGAGATGGGAAGGGATGGGAAGGAGGCTACAATGCTCGATAAGAAATGTACTCATTACCTTGCTCATGTAATTGTAACCCCTCTGTACAATATTTTCACAATTAAAAAAAGAATTTTGCACACATTGTTAATGTATTTTGATTTTGATTTTGATAATTGTAGTTCAGTAATCAAGTCAACTCAGTAAGTAAGTCAGTTAAAAGAAAATGTGGTCTATATATAATACAATGGAATTTTATGGCTCCATCAGAAAGAATTGCATTGCTCCATTTGTTAGGAAATGGAAAGACTACAAAAAAATTAAGTGAAGTAAGCCAGGCCCAAAGAAACATAGGTCCCATGGTTTCCCTTATTTGCAATAACTAGTATATGTCTAGGACAAGCAGAAAAGGTCACAAGCTATGTACATATGACCATATAAGATGATGTTAAGCAACGTGAACCCCAAGACAGGGACACAAGTGGTTTTATATTTCTTGCTATTTTTTTAACGTATTTATAATGTACTATTTTTTTTGTGTGTGTGTTTCTTTGGTTATGTTCTTCCCCCATGGTATAACCGCTGTTTTCACTGTATTTGATGTCAGTGCCCTGCATCTTGTATACACATTTTTCTAATTTGGGGAGGGGAAGGCAAGTAACAAAATTCTTAAGTAAGGATACAGGTTGACCCACTGTAACAATGACATATACAAGACATTATGTTGAAAATGAACTTTACAACTTCAGGGGGTAGGACGGGAGGAATTGGGGAGGTGGGGTGGGTAGGGATGGTAGTGGAAAAACAAAGGTGGAGATAACAATGCTCGATAGGAAATGTATTCATTACCTTACTCATGTAACTGTATGGTATTTTTACAATAAAAAAACATATAAAATATTCTTTCAGCAGTCCCTTAAGCCTAAATGTCATTAGGAGCAATGTTGTGAGATAGTGACTGCTTCATCATACTTATGGTATGGCCTCTACCTACTTTTGAGTCCAAATTCAGAAAGATAAGGATGAAGATGACTCCAAATGGGGCTGGGACAGCCCAACTGTACAACAAACTGATGTGTGGGGTCAGATAGGAAAATGATCCGTGAGAGCCCTTGGTTTCCATACAGCTTTACATCAGTGCTCTGCAATATAAACCCAATGCATGCTACATGGCTACTTGCAGATTTTCTAGAAGCCACGTTATTACTGTAAAATTAAGAATGAATTTTCAAAGGGTTAACTTTGTCCCATTATATCTAGAATAGTATTATTGAAGAGCTACCTTGCCTTCTTTTTTATTGTTTGCAGTAAGTACTTCAAAATCTAGTGTGTAGTGTGTTTTTAACTTAAATCACATCTCAATTCAGGCTAGCTACATCTTAAGTACTTAGGGGTCACATGTGGTTAGGGGTAATCGTATGACATGGTGACGCTCTAGGAATTGAAGTAGTTGTATGTGGGGTTTCAATTCAACATGTCAGTTTATGAGCATAATTCATCTTGATCAACGTCATCTTTTATTATTCTCCCCCAACCCCACCCATCCCTCAATTTTAGGAGTATATTTTTAAGGTGTTTTCTTCTCTTCATTTTCTTCCTCTTCTTTTAAAATTTAGACTATTTATCAGGAAAATTGCTTTTCACTTGATGTTCACAATATATTGAGATGGGGCCCAGTCAGACGAACAGTGATGATTGTCTTTTTTATGGAGGGAAGGGTCTGGTTCTATAAGGACTTTCTTGTCAATGCATTTGGGATGAACTTTTGAAATGTTTGCCAGAATGCAAGAGGAGGAAGGACTGGCTTGAGCACTGATAGAGGATTCTCAGAGGAGATGTAGTGCTTTGTGGGCTAGCTAACACACAGAGCTTGGTGAAATTTATGATGGGTATTTATGATCCAATTATTCAGATAGGTCATGTATGAGAACAGATGTGGGTAGTATGGTTATTTATCTGGAGCAATATGCTCTAATGGAATGAGTTCTCGAATGAGGGTCAAGATGACTGGTTTTTGGTCCAGGCATTGGTTTGGAAGGAGAGAAGTAAACTAATATGTACTGAACCTGACAGCATCAGTCAGTTTACCATGAATTTCTTATCTGCTTCTTACAATAAATCTAAAAGATTTATAGTCAACTCTAGTTTACAGAAGAAGATACGAGCCCTGAATAGGTTGAGTCCTGGCTTATGCAATCTGAATCTCAGTTCCATCTGATTCCAAAGCTTCTATGTCCGCCACATGATCATCAATATGTGTGGCCTATCATAAGTATAACTTTGGTTAATTAGGGCTCATCAAGAGCAGTAGAATTGATCATGCATGTGTATGTACATCAGTATACATAGGTGGTATATTTTACAGGAGATTGTCTTACATAGGTGGAGGTCTGGCTGAGCCGTCTCTGTAAGGACGTCGTTTTCACATCTGATGCTGGTAATGAAAGGTCTCCAGGATGGTGGCCATAAAGGAAAGGTCATGAGCATGTTGGAGGCAACAAACACAAGGTATAGCTGGAGGAAGACAAACTGAGCCCCAGTGTCATTCTTGCTGCTTTTAACTTAGTGATAGGAATATCCTGCAGAAGTCTTGCCTGTCTTCATGGAGCTAAAGTTATCCGAGAATCTGAGAACCTAAAAGAAGTGATGTAATAGTATAGTATCTTAACTTTTGTTAATGATAATCCACTTTCCTTATGTGTTACATGAAATAATAGCTCTCAGCCAGTTTTCCTTACATGTTGCCAGTAACATTAGATGAAATGTGTAGAAGGTCAGCTATTTTGTAGCCTGCTCTTCAAAGGGAAGAGTTAGTTGACGTTCATGATGCAGATATATTTTCTCATTGCATTTTAGTTGTGGGCTGAATGTTTTAGAGGGACAAGTATGTAGTTGGAACTGTTGGTGACTCTGGTTGCTGAAGAGCAGAGACCATTTCTTGGATGGGAGTTGTGGGCCATGGATGAGGTTTCTGTTCTATAAATTTGGGCTTGCATTTCATAACAGCCGAACTTACTCAGCAGAATAAAGAAATCCCTGCGGAAGTTTTTGGTAAAGATGGCATAGAGAAAAGGGTTGGCACAGGAATTGATGGGGTAAAACAGGACCAGGAGGATTTTTGCCTTGGACACAGTGATGAGTGGTACCTTGAGGGATGCAGAAATGGCAAAGAAAGAAATGGGTGCCATGCAGAGGAAGTCAGTGAAGATGAGTGTGGCCATGCGCTTGGCAATCTTCGTGTCACTAGAAGAGGACACAATGTTAGGATTCCTCACGGTAAGGTAGATGTGGGTATAGCAGCCGCAGATGACCATGAAGGCCAGGACGTTAAGCACAAGGAGCGCCATCACATACAGCTGTGACAGAGGGCTGTCAATGTCCATGGGCAGGCAGATGCTCACCTTCATGTAACTGCTGATGCCAAAGATGGGGAAGAGAGCCGCTGCAAAAGCAAAGACCCATCCCAGCACCATGACAGTGGTGGCATGGCGGAGCTGCACCTTGCACTCCAGCTGCATGGCGTGGGTAATCGTGTGCCACCTTTCCAGAGTGATGGCTGTCAGAGTGTAGACCGAGAGCTCACTGGCAAAGACCGTGAAGAAGCCAGCAGTAGCACAGCCAGCTCCGGTTTGCCAGTCAATGGCATAGTTGTGGTATTGACTCTTGGTGTGGATGTCGACGGATGCGATGAGCAGCAGGTAGATTCCAATACAGAGGTCAGCAAAGGCCAAGTTGCACATAAGGAAACGGGGCACTGTGAGTTTATATTGGCTTGTAGTCAGGATCACCAGCACTGTGATGTTCCCAGTGATGGCCAGGATACTGATAAACCATATCAAGACTCGGAGGATGGTGTATCCCATGATATCTTCACAAGGGTTGAATGCATCTGGCTTAGGGGAGCAGGCCACATCAACCACTTCATTGCACAAGTCATAGTCAAATTCACTGTACATCAAGTCAAATCCTCTGCCATAACCGGTTTCATCATCATCTGTTAAAGACATTCTTGGACCCCTAGCCTGAGTCATATCATCATCTTGCCTTAAAATTGATTTATTGCAAATTGGATGAAACTCAGAGCTAGAAAAAAAATAGAAAAAAAAAGAGAATAGAATCAGCATCCTGGATCCAGAATGGCAAATACATCATTGTCTTTGCATAGGGTAGAAATAATGGGGTTTCTTCCTGAGAGTGTTTATTCTTCTAATAACGTGTCTGCCCTTGAAGCTGAGCTCACAGGTTAATGCTGCTTACTGTAAATGAACATAACGACTTGTCTATGTATTCCTACGGTTGGACAGCCCACGGGGGAAACCATCTGGCCACAACCTGAATGTGGGGAGGAAGGCGCCTGGGACTAGCTAAACCTTGTTGTTAAGTGCAAATAATTTACAGGCCTGGTATCACATTCACCTCTTTCCTTTCTACATGCAGCTATTTCTTACTGGGCCTGGGAGAAGACATTCTCTTACTCCTCTACTTGCCAGTCACTGGAAGTTCTGCCTATTTTCTGATACATTTAAGAACACATTTTCTTGTTTGATCTACAGAAGCTAGAGGATCTGAATCTGTAGTTAATTCCTAGCCAGCCCCATTCTTGGGTTCTTTGGTACTGAGACTCTTGGGATGCCATCTCATTTGCCTGAAATGTTACCAGGGTCCTGTAGTGTACAATTTCACTTCCCAGGGTCCACAGACATGTTTTTCCTGCATGATAAGCTGGTTATCTCATATTAAAAAGTTCCTCAGGGCGAGTATAAGTTGTAAAGGGGGGGGGGGTGTCTAGTTTATTTTCAGATTATGGTATTTTCTAAGGAACCTAGCTCTTCTTGGGCTCACTTTCTTATATTATCAACAGGATCGAGGCACTTACAGAAGAATTTGAGTGAAGTCTAGATGATGAATATTCAGTTCTGAGTATATGTGTAAATATTCTACTACTAATTTGATGTAGAGACAGAACTAATGCTTATGTTTTGAAGCAAAGTTTTGAGGGATGTGAATATTTTACACTGGGAGCATTTTTTTTTGGGGGGGGGGGTCCAGTCATGGGGCCTGAACTCTGGGCTTGGGCACTGTCCCTCAGCTCTTCAGCTCAAGGCTAGTGCTCTACCACTTGAGCCACAGTGCCACTTCCGGCTTTTTTCTTTTTGCTTATGTGGTGCTGAGGAATCAAACTCAGGGCCTCAGGTATGCAAGGCAAGCGCTCTACCACTGAGCCACCTTCCCAGCCCCTGGGAGCATTTTTTTTTTAATCGGAAAAAAGCCATACATATATATCCTTACCTTCCCCTCTCTCCCCAAGGGGAAAGTTCATAGAATTTTTAAGTGAAATCCTTTTCTCAAACAGGAACACCATATCAAAGAGCATGGAAGTGATTATTAAAACCCTTCTAAAGCCCTCATAGGAAGGAGGGAGGGGGATGGAGGGGTACAGTCTCCATTTTAAAGGGTAAATTCTGGTATGTTCAATTACATGAAGTGAACTTTTCCATTACCCTCAGAAGGAGCTGCTATGGAGGAGCCTGTCCTCCCCTTTCTCACTTTTGGGAAGTGAAGTGAATTACCAGAAAATTGTATTCTCTTATTCCTGGGGCTTCGCTTTGCTTCTCTTCCTTCCTTCCTTCCTTCCTTCCTTCCTTCCTTCCTTCCTTCCTTCCTTCCTTCCTTCCTTCCTTCCTTCCTTCCTTCCTTCCTTCCTCCCTTCCTCCCTTCCTCCCTTCCTCCCTTCCTTCCTTCTTTTCTCCCCTCCTTTCCTCCCTCCCTACTTCCCTTCCTCCACTTCCTTCTTCCCTCCCTCTCTCTGTTCCTTCCTTCTTCCCTTCCTCCCTCTCTCCCTTTCTCCCTCATTCTCTCTCTCCCTCCCATCCTCTTCCCCTCTTGCTATATGTAATCTTTTGTTTTAGAAACTGACAGAGCTTCTCAAATAATCACAGCTTGTAAAGAGACTAGTTAACACACATCCAATTAAAACTGAGTGAAAGCACAATCCAGTGTACACCTAAGAAAGATGAGGCCAGATCTGGGATATGCATAGCGGGGTTAAGAGGACCATTGTGACTCCTAAATCCTACTGCTGGATTGGCTGTAGTCTAATTCTAGGAACAGAAAGTAAAGTATTCTGACATTTTCTGATTGCCTTCTACTTGATTGGAATGGGCTCTTCATTAACCATCTAGAGACAGCCTTCTCTTCCTAGAGTGATTGTTGGCTTCATTGAAGGTTCTCATTGTTGATGTTGCTGTCAGTATATTCTATATACTGATGTTTCCCTTTCCTGAAACAGAAGTCATCTACTAGCATGAGATGGGAGAAAGGTGAACAAAGAAAGACTCTCAGATAAGAACAGAAACAAAGGTGGGAGTCAAAGGGAATAAAGTTTTGCTTCTGCAATATCTTGGGAAATCCTAAGTAGGATAAATACCAGTTTAAAAGTGGTATTCATGGACCTTGGCCAATCAATCATCATGCTTAGGATTGGAATATCAGACTATCCCAGAGCCTGGGCTTTGGCTTGCGTCTGAGTTTGATCAGTGTTCATTAAGTTACTCTCTAAGCCTCAGTTTCTGTCCCTATTAACAAGGAATAATATTAATACTGATAATGAAATTACCTTTGTACTATTAGAGATATGGCATGTGCCTGTCAGCTAAGTACTCAGAAAATGTCAGCAATATGGAGACATCTGACAGTAGCTTCTTGTTGAAGATCTAGGCTCTGTCACTATTTAGAAGTATGTACCATGATGTATCAACTTAAAATCTAGTTCTAAGGAAATGCTATAAGAACAATTAAAGAATTCAGTAGGAGCAAAATAAAGCAAGTTTAGTACAGCTGTGGCAAAAATACATCCAGTTCAATGACAAATGAGGGGTTCAGTTGACCCAATCTTTTAGCTGGGAGGACCATGGACCAACATCTCATTGTAGCAAAGGCCTCATATTTACAATATCATTGTGTATGCATAATGGACATAATTTCCACATGAGAATCAGAACAATTTCATATACAACTTGAAACTCAAATCATATTACCGAACCACATTTCATAGGACATATAATGAAATGTTACTATTTTAGGAGTGAATCCTGGAATTCTCTTCTGAAAAGCACCATGATTTTATATTGTTTCTGTGTGTGGATTTATGAAATGTTAAAATAAAAAATAACCTACAGTGTGGTATGTTGTGGGAGAAACATGGGCTTCTTCCTTGCCCCTAGCAAACCCTGATGGTAAGTTCACAAGGGACTGAGAGGAGGCGGATATAGGCTGAGGGGTCTGAGGGATTGGAGAAAGACTCATGTTGTGGTACATCTAGAGTAGACCTACAATTTCTGATTGGGAGAGCCCCAAGGCTTGTCTATGCAACCAGGAGATGGCAAGACCCGAGGCTGCTGAGCAACACCAATAGTAGATCCCTATTGACATGAAGGCATTGGGCCCCACGGCATGCCACAGGCTACTCTTACAGTAAACTCAGCATCCTTTGAGATTTCTCCTGAGGGGTGTTCAGTTGCAGTCTTGGCCAGAATAATGATCTATCCCTAGCTAGAATAATTCCTTTTCTGGAATATAAAAGCGGCCTTAGCCTTAGCGCAGGCCCTTAAGAGCCCTAGTTTTCAGGGAGAAATTAGCCCTTGAGTGAATCTGTGAAGAGTGCTCCTTTCTGGGTGTTTTCCCCGGATGCATACTAATTCTGAAAAGCAGTCTCTTTCCTGCACGCCCTTCAAGATGGGTTTGAGTGCTCTCAGTTACTTTGAGAACATTTTGGCATTTGAGCTGTTCTTTCGCTTTTTGTTGTTGTTTTGCTTTGGGGCAAGGGGTATGTCAAGGGTTGAATAACTGAGGAGGTGTCTTAAACAGTTAATTAACATCACAGCACGACTGGGCTATTGTTAAGAGTAGTGAAAAGGCATCTTCTGAACTAGTGTAGCTGCCTGCGGTGGGATATATTAGTGAGTTTAGAGGCGGTTACTAGCTTTGAAACCCCCTGATAAGCAGTTCTTACCTCCAGTGGGCCCCTTAAATGTCTAGAACACGTGAAACCCCAACTCCTCTACTCTCTCCAGATCCTGTCTATGATTGCCTCTACTTTTGAGCCAGATGCCTCCTGGGACTTGGCTCTGTTGAGATAATCCTCTTTGTCCTCCCGTGAGTTGGTAAGACTTGGAAGGGATTAGAGAGGTTTAGCGCATGGTTGGGATGTGTTATAGATGTGCACATCAGTCTGCTGTGACACTTTTGATTCTGTCCTCCAAAGTTGACTTTGATATTAGTAGGATAGAACATTTGTAGGGTGCAGAGCATAGGCATTAAAAGATAAATATATATCGATACCGAGACAAGGAAGAAAAAATATATTACCATCAATTATGAGTTAGATACTGTGATGCTTTTTATGTTTTCTTGTTTAATATTTAATTGCTGCTTTACCAGGTCCTTTCTAGTGAGCGTATTTTCTTTCCATTTTTCCTTCCTCCCCTCCTTCCTTCCTTCCTTCCTTCCTTCCTTCCTTCCTTCCTTCCTTCCTTCCTTCCTTCCTTCCTCCCTTCCTTTCTCCCTCCCTTCCTTTCTCCCTCCCTCCCTCCCTCTCTCTCTCTTTCTTTCTTTCTTTCCTTTTTTTTCTCTCTCTCTCTCTCTTTCTTTCTTTCTTTTTTCTTTCTTCCACTTGAACCACCGATCCATTTCCATTTTTTTGGTGGTTAGAGAGATAAGAGTTTTGGCTGAGTGCTGGTGGCTCATGCCTATAATCCTAGCTCCTCAGGAGGCTGAGATATGAGGATCATGGTTCAAAGCCAGCCCAGTGTAGAAAAGCCAGTGAGATTCGTATCTCCAATTAACAAACAAAAAAGCCAGAAGTTGATCTGTAGGTCAACATGGTAGAATGTTTGTTAGTCTTGGGCAAAAAAAGCTCAAGGAAAGTGCAGAGGCCCTGAATTCAAGCCCTAGGACCAGCCCCTACCACCCCTCCCCCGCAAAAAAATAGTCTCATGGACTTTGCTACTGGATTGGCCTTAAACCAGCATCTTTAGATTTCAGCCTCCTGAGGAGCTAGGATTACATTTTAAAAGGAATTATCATCCATCCCTTCCTACTGAATCCTACTGGCCTTGAACTGATAATTCTCCAGCCTCAGCCTCCTGATTTTTGAACTGATCTTTGAGTGTCACCGGGTCAGGCCCACACTGAATCTTTGATGAAGAACATGCCTCAGGCAAGAGAGAGAGAGAGAGAGGGGGAGAGGGATTCTCTCTGTATATGGATTCCTTTCCTGCCAGTCGTTTTGAGGTTAAGGATGGAGTTCTACACTGGGAAAGTACCCAAGCCAGACTCAGGGATGGACAAAGAAGACTCACATTTGCCGTCTCCAGTTTGCAAAAGCACAGCAGTGGCTAGGGTAGGTGAGGCTTGCCTCCAGGAGGGCAACAAACTTTTCCAGGCTTGGAAGCTTTTTTAAGTTGTAAGTTGACCTGGCCCTCAGCTTCTTAAGCTTTTCTAAGCCATGGCTAGGCAGGGAATGGATCCTTGTTCTTGAGACATCTCTATAAAGAGAAAAAGGAAATGTAATTATTGCGGGCCTTAAGTTCTCTACTCTTTGTTAGTAGGCAAAATAGCAGACATTATAGCACAGAAATATCCTACACCCTGGGTAGACTAATATTCAGCATGTTAGGACTTTTCATTTGGACGGGAACCTGATCCTTGTGTTACTGGTAGGAGCCATTAGGTAACAGGCTGCCCTGATTCTTGGATGTACCTTCATCCTGCCTGATTTGTGGCTTAACTCTTGCTGGCAAGTAGAATTAGCCACCTCCTCTGCAGTATATAATTTGAAGAGAATCAAGAGAGTAACAATTTTCTTTCAACATGGAACTAGCTGTAAACATATTTTTGATGAACCAGGATGGAATCAATAGTGACATTTTGGAAAGGAAAGAGAAGAAAACCCTTTATAAAGGGAAGAGGAGTCTGGTGAGCAGTAGAGGCAGCCTCAGCAGGGTCTACATGGAAGACAGAATGAGCTTTGCCTCCATGGGACGCTCACTTGCATTTAGGTTCCATCTTTATACTTGTTAGATCTGTGACTCTGGCCAAGCTAGGTCACAGCTCCATGTTTTGCTTTTCTCAGCCATGAGAAAAGTAGGAACATGAAAATCATATCTACTTCAGAGCTTGTTGCTTACTTAGAAATATAAAGAACTTTCTGGTCAAGAGAGAGTGCCAAATCTCTGTCTGTCTGTCTCTCTCATACATACACATACACACATTCATGGAGGGTGGTGAAAAGTGATGTGTCAAAGGAGTAGGTACTCAGGTCAGTGACACCTGGGGTGTGAATGCAGATCTGCTATGCCGTGTGTTCTCACAGTCTGGTGAAAACTATGTTCCCATGTCGTATGATTCCCTAACTCCCACATTTCTCATGGGTTTTTACTGTCCAATGGACTGGCTTCCCCCTCCAGTGGACAAGCATTACTCTCCATGACTGTTCCTTTTGTCATGTCTCTGCTTACCCATACATGATGTCCTTGGGTTCCCAATTCACAAGCAAACCAAGTCACTCCTAAATCTATAGAGGAAAAAAAAAAAACTTGCCAAGGCCATCTCTGGGTTCTAACCCTGTATCCTCAATTTTCTTGTGCAAGCCAAACACTCTTTCCTGAGGTATTCTTTCTTAGCCTATGTTCCTGATTTCTTCTGACAATTCATTCATCTTCTTTCTTAATTTGTTTTGCTTTTCTTCTTTACATATTAGTATTTCTCTAAATTTAGGCTTTTTTTTTTTGCCAGTCCTGGGGCTTGGACTCAGGGCCTGGGCACTGTCCCTGAGCTTGTTTTGCTCAAGGCTAGCACTCTACCATTTGAGCCACAGCACTACTTCGGACTTTTTCTGTTTATGTGGCACTGAGGAACTGAACCTAGGGCTTCATGCATGCTAGGCAAGCACTCTACCACTAAGCCACATCCCCATCTCCAACTTGGGATATTTTTTTAATCTGTCCAAGTGGTCTTACTTGTTCCTTTGGTTTTTGATACTAGGTAGATGACTTCTGAATATATATCCTAGTTCAGATCATATTCTTGGAATCCAGGCAAGATGGTGAGTGAGCCAGTGGACTAATCTAGCATTTTGTTAGCTTGCACAGATATCAAAACTGGACTTTTTTCTTGTAAATATGTTTCTCTCTTTTTTCCATCTTAGTAAACAACTCTTACATTGTGCCCTGTTGTTCAAAATGGAAACCTGGTTTTTCACTTGGACAAATCGGTAGATATAGTGGCAGGTCCTCTGTTTTTCTCACATCCATCTCACTCCTTTCTTGGTGTGCTCCTCTTTCTGAAGGAAGGAAATCCTGGTTCCATTTCCAAGGCACCACCTTGTCAATCAGCTGTCAGTGAGGTTCAGCAAACAGCACTAGTGGGGCATTGGAAGGTGCCTGAAAGGGCTTCCCCCTTCTGTCTTAGGCAGCAGTTGAAGCTTCTTTGTGACTCCTGACCGATTTGCTAATGATCCAGTTTCTGGGCTTCAGTAAGGCCCCTTGTCATTGTTCTTCAACTCTCGGATTAATAATGGCTAAATGTCATTGCTAATCTCTGGGTTACTAAACATCTGTTTAATATTCAGGTTTACATTGCAAGACAAATGATTACTTTTATGTAGTACCTAAATATACTTAGTTGTCTTCTTGTTATCTTCTTGTTTAATCAATTAAATTAATCTTTCTCATATTAATTCAAATCTTCTATAAACTTCTGGATAATGTTGCTCATACAAATTCAAATCTTCCATGAATTTATGGATAGTTTGCTTGTTTTTTTTGCTTTTGCTTTTTGTCAGTTGGGGGTTTGAACTCAGGGCCTGGGTGCAATACCTGAGCTCTTTTTCTCAAGGCTAGTGCTCTGCCACTTTGAGCCACAGTGCAACTTCTGGTAATTAGAGGTAAGGGTTTTATGGGGACTTTTCTGCCCAGGCTGGCTTTGAACCATGATCCTCATATCTCAGCCTCCTGAGTAGCTAAGATTATAGGCATGATCCACTGGCGCCTGGCTGCTTGTGTGTCTGTTTGATCACTATGGGGAGAAGTATATTAAAATATTTTATCTGTGATTTTTGCGTTTGTATACTCCTACTATTAATTTTTGCTTTATATGTTTTTTTTTGTTGTTGGTCATGGGGCTTGAACTCTGGGCCTGGGTGCTGTCCCTCAGCTCTTCAGCTCAAGGCGAGCGCTCTACCACTCGAGCCACTTCCTTTATATGTTTTTGATGACTTATTTTTAGGTCCACACAAATTTAGAATTTTTGTGACTTTCTTTTTTTTAAATAAGTTTTTATTGTGAAAAATACTGTACAGAGGGGTTACAGTTACATGAGCAAGGTAATGAGTACATTTCGTATGAAGCATTGTTGCCTTCTCCTTTGTTTTCCCTCTACCATCCCTTCCCTCCCACCTCCTCAACTACTCTCTTCATGTATATTATTATTTATTTCCTAACTCTTCAGAAGTTCACTCTTTTTTTGGTTCTTTCCTTACCTCCAGGAAAGAGTACCCTGAGCTCAATGCCTGCATTTATTTTCTCTAACTTTGTTTATTCCATAAGCAATTGGCATACTCCATAACTGACCTTATCTAATCATATGAGTAAATGCCACTATGAGCTAGTATTTCTAGTTCTAGAGTACTTTTCTGAAATTCCTACTCATATTCAGCCACCTCATAACTACAGCCTCTGTTTTTATGCCTACCTCATAGGTAGGTCTAGCTTTGGATACTAAAAATTGAGCTCTTGATTCTCCACCTGTAGCAGTTTGTGTTATTCATACAGTACTTTTGAGAGCCTCCTTTTACTCTCCTCTTCTCCTTGTACCCTATATCCAAACTCTCAGCAAAACTTCTTACTTTAGGTCCCATGCACATAAAGACAAATATAAATGATTTTCACAATATTCATCGTCCTCACCCACAGGGTGATACTTCTGGTGTTCTAAGGTACTTTTGCTAGTTCTTTCCTTACATTATAACTTTTCAGTTCTAAAGTTCCTGCATGTTGAGAATCTTTCCCATGAACTCTTGACTCTGTGGTGCATCTTTATGCTCTGCTGTGAAATGACTTAGCTATTCTGACTGAGCTGCATTTATACTTCCACCACAGCAGAGCTTCTGATTTTCTTTTCTGGAGGTCATTCTGGCTTTTCTCTTCGGGCACTCCCTTTTCTGACCTGCTCACAACACTAGTTTTATTCTCTGTGACCAAGTTCCCAAATTTGTCTGGCTTTTGAGTCTGTCTGTCTCTCTTGTTCTTGATGTAGCCTTTAAGAACATCAGCACCTGAGTTGCCATGAAAAACCTCTGGCTCAGTGGTAGAGTGCTTGCTTTGTATACATGAGGCCCTGGGTTGGATTCCTCAGCACCACATAAGCAGAAAAAGCTGGAAGTGGTGCTATGGCTCAAGTGGTAGAGAGCTAGCTTTGAGCTGAAGAGCTGAGGGACAGCGCCCAGGACCAGAGTTCAGGCCCCACGACCAGCAAAAAAAAAAAGAAGAAAAGAAAAAAACCTCAGAATACCATGAGGCCATGCTAGTAGTGAAAGTGTTAAGCCATCTGGACAATGAGATGCTTGTGTGTGTGTGTGTGTGTGTGTGTGTGTGTGTGTGTGTGAGTGAGAGAGAGAGAGAGAGAGAGATGGGGGAGGGGTGGGGGCGGGAAGATATGAGAATGAATACATATACATATACATTTCTACATCTCTCTTAGAGCCTAGGAAGCTCTAGCATTCTTACCAATGCCTTTCATGTAGCAAGTACCCAAAACATTATTGCATATTTTGAGGATATATTGTTGATTGACGATGGAGAAAGATTAGGAAAGAGAACAGATAGATTACCTCAGTGAGTTATGATGCTCCCTGACCTCTAGCAAGGACCAAAAACTTGTATACCTTGTGTGTTCTCTTCTATCTGATTAGAAAAAATGCCTCCTCATAATAGAAATGAGAGGCTGGAGAAAACCTTCTAAGAGCTGATTCTAAACCGACAGAGAGAGAAAAATCTAGATTTAATATGAGCTCAGCAAAATAACACTTCTGTAACAGACTTGTTATGTGGCCAGTGCAAAGTTCACAAGGAGATAGACATGGTAGGGACTATGCAGAATGATGTGTTGGATGACATAACTTGATGTTGAATGGGAAAACCTCCTTGGGAAATGGGGATCCCTTTCTGTCTGTTCAGTGGTTGGAGCTCCTTTTGGTTCGTTTAGATTCCTTTGTATCACAGCTACAAAATTGTGTGTTGCTGCCATTTACATGAGGTGGCTTTGCTACTGTGAGGTTTAGGAATTTTCTCCGTGTTCCAGAATGCAGATCTTCTGCTAGTAGACGAAGAAAGAAGTGATTGTAGAAGAGAGATGCAAAGTTACTTTCAATCCCATAAAAAACAAATCCTTTAGCAAAAGTGGTTACTAAATGATGTGGAAATATGTGTTTATACTGATGTTTGCTTAAACTACTTGACAGATGACCAAATATGGAACCTATTAAAAT